GCAATATTCCAGCCTAGATAGAACAAGTGACCTGAAGAGTGTCATCATGGGCTTGGCCTCCCTAGTTTTGAAGGTTCTCATTATCCATCCTGTCATTGGTGAGAGGCAACATGTTTATTCTGTGGGGAGGAGGAAACTGCCTATCATGTGGTATATTTTTGTTCATCTTTGGGCGTGGTGAGTCTGGATGGCGGGGGTTATTAGGTTGTTGGGGGGGGAGTTGGTCTTTTCTTAGATCTTTGTCGATGGATGTTAGTGGGGTAGCAAGTGAAGTGGGGAGGGCTTTGATGTATGTTATGGCAGATTATTTGCATTTTTCTTGGGGTATGAGGCAGATTAAAGGGCAGTTGAGGATAAAAGCGTTAGCAGCAAGGTTCTTTAGGACAAGGTGTAGGAATAGATTAATATATGGGGGGAGATGGGAATCAAGTTTTTCGATAGGTTATCGTAATCTCACTGTAGCACAACTTCTCAGGGATCAGGGGGGGGGGCAAGGGACGGGTCTCCTTTAATGTGAGGGGGGGGTGTAAGGTTGTGCTAGTAGTGTGGAAGGTGATGAGAGAGAGAGAGCTAGTGAGAGCATACATTCGTGAACTGGTTATGTTCCTGGAGAGTTATTTTATATTTGCGTTCAGTACCATGGTTTCATTCAGTAACACCTGGAACGTCATACATGTACATATTTTGGTTTGGGTATATTATTGCACTCACTGTCAAGGATAGGTGGCTTACGCAGCTGTTATGGTGTTTTATGTCATGCAGTACTGAACATGTACAAAAATGACACTGCCAGTGAATTCTAGTAATCCTCTTTATTGATATGAGATGTGTTAAAAAATTAAAATAAAACAAGGAAACACTGTAGGTCAAGAGTACGTTAGTATCGGATGATGCTTGTATTTTTGTAGTTTTAAACACGTAGCTGCAAGTACTTTCCTTATAGCTTTTGTGGCTTAGCGCTTCTTTTGATTTTAATAATAAAAAAGTACTTTCCTTTAAAGCTGTACTTCTATATAGAAGAAGGATTGTAATACTTTTACACACATTCATGTAGTGAATATTACTATGTCAAGGATGTTTAATTTGTGTTTCAGATAGGGAGATTAGGATCTTATGTCCAGTCATTAACAAGTTTGATCTTAAGCTAGGATTTAGTTAGTTGTAGGGGAGTGCCTGTATAGTTTTCATTGAGGGGGTTTCTTGCACCGTCCTTGTGTGGGGAGAACCAATTTGACATGTTTCAATATGATAATTCTAGTCTTGGATTATATTAAATATTTACATAAGCTAGTTTTAAAGATGAGGTAGCATGTAATGTATTCTCTTATATTTTACGTGTAAACTCCATGTTATACAATGTTGTTATGACAGTTTGAAGTTCATGGTTGATGCTTTATTATTATTGATATTAAATATTGTGGGTGTATATTCTTCCACTAATACAGGTGTGTGTGTATAGCAATGTAATGTCCATATCTGTTTTCCTATGTACTTTTATATTTTTGTGTTTTGTTTTGTTCATGCATCACCAACTTCTGGTAAATTCTCATTAAGGTTTAATGAGGTAAGGGTATATGCCCTAATTGTTAGGTTACTTAAGGTATTTCTTAGAACGGTGCATGTAAATATTTTTGTCTGCACTGGCATTATTAATTATTGTAAAAGGAGGGGTTTTGTAGGACATGTTGTTGGATGTGTAACTGGTGGTAATATGGCTATCAGCTATAGTGTTATTTTAAGTACTGGATTGTGTGATAGAGGAATTTGTTAATATCCAGTATAGTTCTTCTTTTATTAAACTCTTATACATTCTTGTATTTGTTGTAAGTAAATGAGTGGGCAATGAACTGGATTATATGAGAATGTCTTTGTATATAAACTTTCATGTACAATGTAAGTAAAGGTGACATTCTTTGGATTATATAGCCTTTTGTGTTGTAAGATACTGGTTGTATTTTATGGATATAATAAACCCACCTGTATGTTCAGGTGTGGGTTGTCCTTAGTGTAGTTACATGTATGTTCGGCATTTTTTGGGGGTATCAAACATTTAAAGTTGAAAGTGTGTTTCTTATGTATAAGTTTAGTGCTGGGATAGGGAACGTGGATTTGTTTTGTTTTTAGTATTTAATGGTTAACATGTCTTTGTTTATGTGACGTATGTATAGCATACATGTATAATGTGTATTGTGTTTTTTAAATAAAATATAAAAAAAAAGGTGGTGACCCTACAGATTTAAACAACTATAGGCCAATATCAAACTTATCATTGCTATCCAAAATCTTTGAGAAACTCATGCACAGGAGACTATATTCATTTATGACGGCACAAAACATACTCGACCCCTGCCAATTTGGATTCAGGAAAAATAAAAGCACTAATGATGCAATTATAAAAATGCTAGATCTGCTTTACACAGCATTGGAAAATAAGGAATACCCACTAGGAATTTTTATTGACCTAAGAAAAGCTTTTGACACAGTAGACCACGGTATCCTAATCCACAAACTTGACCATTATGGTATAAGAGGCCATGCGCTTGCATATTTCAAATCTTACCTTACTAATAGGTATCAGTATGTCACCATTAAAGACAGCATCAACAACATGGCCACTTGATATTGGAGTTCCGCAGGGAAGTGTCCTTGGTCCCCTGCTCTTTCTCATATACATCAATGATCTTCCAAATGTATCCCGACACCTGAACCCCATTCTCTTTGCTGACGACACGACTTACGTCATCTCTCACCCTAATCTTGCCACCCTCAACACCATTGTTAACGAGGAGCTGATCAAAACATCGACTTGGACGACAGCCAATAAACTTACGCTTAACACTGACAAAACCTACTATATTATGTTTGGTAGCAGAGCAGGAGTTGCACAAATTAACATTAAGATCGACAACACTAATTGCCAGACATAATGAGGGCAAATTCCTAGGCCTATACCTCGACAACAACCTGAATTTCAGCACCCCTATCCAACACACAACCAAAAAAGTATCCAAAACGGTTGGGATCCTCTCCAAGATATGATACTACGTGCCGCAAAATGTCCTTCTCACACTATACCACTCACTTATTTATCCATACCTCACCTATGCTATTTGTGCTTGGGGATCAACTGCAGCAACACACCTAAAGCCAATAATAACCCAACAAAAAGCCACAGTAAGAATAAAATCCCACACAATAACCAAATTCTGTAAATGCAGCATTGTAATCCTTATAGAGAATAAACTTTGAATTGAACTGAACTGAACTGAACTGAACTGAACTTGTATCACGTCGAGAGAGTGTTGGTAGGTACCAGAACGGACAGACCTGACAAGCTACTAGGTATCCCTAAATGGGGTCCTTTAAGCGGTTGCCCGATTTTTTCTTCCTCCTACTTTTCAATTTATTTTTGCTTATATCTGGAGAGGGTTTCGTTGATCAACGCCCCCGCGGCCCGGTCTGTGACCAGGCCTCATGGTGGATCAGAGCCTGATCAACCAGGCTATTACTGTTGGCCGCACGCAAACCGACGTACGAATCACAGCCCGGCTGGTCAGGTACTGACTTAAGTGCCTGTCCAGGACAGTCTTGAAGACAGCTCATATACTGGGAGTCCGTGGTTCGATCCCTGGCATGGTTGGAAACGTTGGGCATTGTTTCCTTATACCTGCTGTCCCTGTCCACCTAGCAGTCGGGAGATACCTGGGTGTTAATACTGTTGTGGGTCGCATCCTGGGGATGGTAGTATACTCTAAGGCTGGGCTCTGAAATGAACCGAGGTTGGATAATAGCTCTCACCCCGTAAAATTTATTTTGATTAAAAAACTCGTCCAATCACATTCAAATTTCGAACTCTTATGTACTGTAATGAGGAGCAGATTCTAGGAATAATTGGCATGCCTGGAGTATACCCTCCAGGTATACTCCAGGTATGTGCAGGTGATGTATGACCAAAGTTACTGAACCCACTCCCAGCATCCTGGAATTACTCTTGATAACTTCCGAGACCCTCTGAAGCGTAACTTCAAATATTAAAAAAAGTGTCTCTTATTTGGACGAAAGCTGAGTGAAACTAAGTGGTTAGGTGTATACTTGACCGATGTACGTAAAACTGTGCGAAAAGTTCTGTTCTACAAGGTACAGCATTCATATCCTTTTCCTCATATCTGACACACAGACACACACACACACACAGACACAGACACAGACACAGACAGACACAGACACACACACACACACACACACACACACACACACACACACACACACACACACGCAAGCCAAAGAACCGTGCCCTCATTTGCTGACGATACCAGAATTTGCATGACAGTGTCATCCACTGAGGACATTGCAAATCTCCAAGCGGACATTAACCAAGTCTTTAAATGGGTCTCAGAAAACAAAATGAAGTTCAGTGAAGACAAATTTCAATTCCGCTATGGAAAACTGACAAAACCTGGATCGGAGTATAAAGCAAATTCCAACCACACAACAGAGCGAAAAACAAATGTGAAAGACCAGGGAGTGATAATGTCAGAGAATCTCAAAGACCACAACAATATCTCTACCCCCACTGCTGGAAAATAAGATGGATAATGAAAACCTTCAAAACTAGGGATGCCAAGCCAATGATGATTCTCTTCAAAGTGGTAGTTCTCTTTAGGCTAGGAGTTCTGCTGTACACTAACTGTCCCTTTCAAGGTAGGCGAAATTGCAGAACTGGAGAATATACAAAATTTTCACTGCACGTATTAATACAAAAAAAGCACTTCAATTACTCGGAACATACACTAGCACATGATATTGATGGAGGTGGTCAGGATGCTGGTCAGTGTTAGTGATACAGGTGGTGAATGATGGTGATGGATACGTATGCAAATGTATACACGTACATACGAATACACGTGTAAAAGTATGCAGGTAAGGGTTCGAGAAAGCCGTACTCACGATTTGTCTGGCCGTTTGCATGACGGGTAAAGGTTCGAGAAAGTTGTACTTACGGTTTGTCTGGTTGGGAGAGTCTGGCCTTCCTCTCTACTTCTGTGATCTGCTCAGCCTGAGTCACTGACTTTGTGCGTCTCAGCTGCCTCAGCACCTGTACACAAGAAATTTCGTTACTGTTGTAAAAACCGTCCTGCATGATGCAGCGTTACATGAAATTATCCTACATGGAGTGCCACATGAAAACCAACTTGCATGATAGAGTATTTCATGGAAACTATTCTGCATGGAATATGCAGGAATATCTATCCTGCATGATGAATTATATGAAAATCATTTTATATGATGGAATTTGAAGGGAAAAGTATCCTGCAGGAATATGAAAGTAAAGCTCACTCTCGCGATTAAACATGAAAGAAAAACCATCCTGGGCAAAGGAGTAGACGGGGAAAGCCGTCCTGCGTCAAGGAGTGGACTGGAAAAACCATCCTACGCTAGGAGTATGATAGGAAAACTATCTTTTATGAGTGAAGATAGGAAACGCAACCTGTGTGATGGGTTCTAAATTAAGGCGAGGTTAGGTTTGTCAGGAAACAGGGCTTAGTCTATGTCTCTTATTTTATCGAAAAGCAAGGGTTATACAGCATATAATGATCCTCAGCTGGAGATTTTTGGCTATCTGACCGAGGCCTTCCGCTGGCTTACCCTTCCACCCCCTTCAAAAATTAGGGTTATAATTATAACCACTTATTATGCTAATTAAACAGCTTTTACCCAAACTTTGTTAAATGGTATAAAATACAGCTGCGGTTGTATTTTAATTTTGGCACCTAACATGTGCAACACTTAGCTATCCTTATTATCGAAAGGTCTCGCATAGCCTATAAGCTTCTGTATTCGAATACAGGCAATTATAACAGTGGAGATAGCAGAAGTGGAGAGGTAACTTTGAAGTGATCAGTCCTTCCACCTTGACCTGTGGTGGTCAGTCCCTCAGTCTTAAGCATGAGAATGAGGCAAACTTGTATCATGGAGCTAGAAGTGAGGTGTAGGAGCTGGAAATGACATCACAGGTGAGCGATCACGGTAAACAGTTGTTAGTTTAATATGTTTATTATGCACCCCATACCCATCCTGTGGGCGGTAGTCAAAAGATTACAGAGGTACATAATTGGTCCAGGGACTGGACTCCAAAGTTTTGATAGGTGAGCAAGTTACAGAGGTAATGAATTCACAATTTACAAAGGTAATGAACTCCAGGTAGGTCTAGTCACAATCATGACAAGTTACAAAGGTATTTACAGATTACAGAGGTACGTAATGGGTCCAGGGACTGGGCTCCCAAAGTTGTGATGGCTGAACTAGGTACAAGGTAATGAACTCACAAGTTACAAAGGTAATGAATCCTGTAAGAATGGTTACTTACGTTTATACATGGCTACAATCATGAACAAATTATAGTGTAATGAGCAATTCACACTTCCACACCCGGTCACAACTGTAATGAGTTATTGGTGCAAATATTGATTGTTGAGACACACACACACACACACACACACACACACACACACACACATACAAATTCATACACACAAACACACAAATTCATACACACGCACACACTCACACTCATACACACACACGCACACACAAACACACGCACACACAAACACACGCACACACACACACACACACACACACGAGCTTGGACTCGACCCCTGCAATCTCAACTAGGTGAGTGCACACACACAAGATACCATGAAGCTGCAGTGTCAGACAAGTATCATACGATACATAGTACACAGTGCCAACAAGTCGAGCAAGATGTGTAACACTTGTGTACTGTAGGTAATTGTTAATAAAACAAACTTCTTACCAACCATTCAGCATAATTTACTTAATCCCCTGATCACGGTTCCTTAAAGTACTCGATCCTATTTTCAGTTTACATATAAAAAAAAAGTTACAGGAAAAGCCATATCAATATGCTGGAGGGCCAGAGTCTGGTGGCTTTCATGGATAAGACTACCTAGTCGTCAGGTAACAGTTCAGTACCAGACATCACCTGCTTCTGTTTACACAGCGACAGACTAATATATTATTCCTTTTGTGTGCTGAATCCTGAATGAAAAAAATTAATGCAAATGTAAGAGAAAAATTAGTGTTTCTGAAAAGTCTATCGTTGACAAAACAGACTCAAGGCTGAGGGTCTGATTACCTCTTAACTACTACTTATATTCCACCGTTGTTCTCCGTGTTGGACTGAAGAAGTCACTGGCTGCCGAGACGTTCCCAGAATAAAGATTCCCATTATGTTGCTCAAGTGTCTCAATTATCAATATAGACGGCCAGTAAAATGCAGTCTTGTGTATAAGAAAACTTTTGATCTCATTTTATGTTCCAAGTTGTTACACATGTAGAAATATTTAGTAATAAGGGAGAGACTCATTCCAGCTCTGATTTTGCTTCTCCCAAATTTGGAGAGAAAAAAGCCAAAAAAGCAATTTTATTTTTTAACATGCTACTTAATAGTATATACATAATATACTTAAAACTGTATGTTACGAAAATGTTAGTGATACACAGTTACTGATGAAATTATGTATCTTTTTTTATATAAAAATGTCACCAAAAATTCTTCCCGCTCAATGCTGCCATTCCGTTGCACAAAACTAAAATAACTAATTCCTAATTGATGTATTAGTATTCTCTAGCACTGACTAGTGTATTGCCTGTGCAGTTCTCTTATCCATATTTAGGTACATGTTACTATAAACAGGACACAGATTTTACAATAATACGTGCCGAGTCTAGCCTACCAGGAAGCTGTTTAATAATCACTACAATATTTGCAGAGCTGCACCTAGAACTGGAATTCTTAATAGGAAACTTATACAAAACTTTTTTGAAATTTTAAAAATTACTGTTATAACATATTTGAGATTGCTTGTACAGCTCGTTAATTTGATTGAAAGCAATGTTTACAAAGTGTGGCAATGCAGTGTTTAGTCACACTGTAGCAGGAACTATAAAGATTTCCATTTGAATAATACATATAAAAATGGTTATAATCAAAACCATAATTTTTAAAAGGGTGGTGTGGAAAATTGCATTTATCTGAATGTAACTCATTATGTACATAACAGTAAATGATAAAGATAATTATTATTTATCAAAGTTACGTAGACAAGTAGGAATTTGGGACACCTAGGTCGAAAAATGTCCCCCTTCGATACCTACAACTGTCATATCCACAAGTTGCTCTAGACCTATTAATTACAAATGAAATGTGTATCACCAGGAATTCTGGTAAATATATAAATTTGTGGACTGTATATTAAAATTAATAATAGATATATATACAATTTACATAACAGAAGGAGAATACATCTTAATATCACTCGCCAATTTGACTGGAGATTAAGGTGTATAATACTCAGAAAACCTCACTGTCTATACATGAAAATAACACTGGCCAGAGTTAAACATTAACAGACTTATCTGAGGTTCCTGGAGCTGTCTTGTCCAGTCGTCTGATATCTCAAGTTATGCAGGAATGCACATCCAACAATTTCGGCTCCTATTTGAGAGGTGTCAGCCCAATTTTACCTCTCGAGCACGAAAATTCTTCCCAATATTCACTAACGTTTGTTACTCAATTAAAAAAAACAATGAGTCGTCTGCGCAGGCTTCCCATTTTTTATGACAATTTATTAAATACAGTATGGCCATCTATTTACATATAACTACTGTATTTTTGGAAAATATACACAGTATTTTCCACAGGTGGAAGGGTAAGCCAGTGGAAGGCCTCTGTCAGATGACAAAAAACTCCAGCTGAGGGTCATCGTAAAACTAAAACCCACGTCAGGAAACACTTGTCCTGTTTCCTGACAAACCTTACTCAACTTGAATACAGGGTGTCCCAAAAGTTCCCATACATAGGAGAAATTTAGTAATTTTAGCAAAATGTAACTATTTACAGTATATTCTCAAAATGATTGTTATTTGTCAACACAGTCGGATGTGCCTCTCCTACTCATAGTGAATTATGTTAACATATTTGGTCCGCAACAGTTTGGGGAATGTTGCATCTCCTGTCAAGTCTCTTGCTTTCACAGGGAGTGATTTTCATGTGAAAGTCTGGCACTAATCCCTCTAGGATTTTCCAAGTGTATATTATCATGCATCTCTCTCGCCTGAGTTCCAGGGAATACAAATCGAGGGACTTCAACCGTTCCCAGTAATTTATGTGCCTTGTAGTACTTGTGTGTGCCGTGAAAGTTCTTTGTACACTCTTCAGGTCAGCAATTTCGCTTGCCTTGAAGGGGGCAGTTAGTGTAGAGAACAAGCGATTTGAAGAGAATCATGGGTTTGGCGTCACTAGTTCTGAAGGTTGTCATTATCCATCCTATCATTTTTCTAGCAGATGCAGTAGATACATTGTTGTGGTCTTGGAAGGCGAGATCCTCTTGACATTATCGCTCCCATTACTTTCTCGCTCTATTGTATTACCTGGAGTTTACCTGGAGAGAGTTCCGGGGGTCAACGCCCCCGCGGCCCGGTCTGTGACCAGGCCTCCTGGTGAATCAGAACCTGATCAACCAAGCTGTTACTGCTGGCTGCACGCAATCCAACGTACGAGCCACAGCCCGGCTGGTCAGGTACCGACTTTAGGTGCTTGTCCAGTGCCAGCTTGAAGACTGCCAGGGGTGTATTGGTAATCCCCCTTATATATGCTGGGAGGCAGTTGAGCAGTCTCGGGCCCCTGACACTTACTGTATTGTGTGTCTGTGCTAGTGACACCCCTGCTTTTCATTGGGGGGATGTTGCATCGTCTGCCGAGTCTTTTGCTTTCGTTGCGAGTGATTTCCGTGTGCAAGTTCGGTACTAGTCCCTCTAGGATTTTCCAGGTGTATATAATCATGCATGTCTCCCGCCTGCGTTCCAGGGAATACAGGTTCAGGAACCTGAAGAGCTCCCAGTAATTAAGGTGTTTTATCTCAGTTATGCACGCCATGAAGGTTCTCTCTACATTTTCTAGGTCAGCAATTTCACCTGCCTTGAAAGGTGCTGTTAGTGTGCAGCAATATTCCAGCCTAGATAGAACGAGCGACCTGAAGAGTGTCATCATGGTCTTGGCATCCCTAGTTC